CATCAAGCTAACATTAGAAAGAGTAATTTAACAAAATAATAATTACCTCTTAGAATTAAGGATGTAAGAGAGGAATTCTTATAGAAAAGCATAAAGTTCCAAATTAGGCTTCCCCCCCTGCCCTACAACTCATTTTTTTCAAAAAAAAAATTTACAATTAAAAATTTTTTTAAGAGAAGGGAAAAATTAAAGACCAATAGGAATCCCCATTATATTTTAAAATATTCATCCATTAGGAATTTGTTACACTTTAAGATATGTAAAGTATGTTCTAAAATGTCTCATCTTACTCTAACAAATATCCTATTTAGGGAAACAGGGCAAAGGATTATCAATTCTACTTTTTATAGACATATTATTTCCAGCCCATAATACTGTGTCAAGTTCTCCGTAAGTGTTTATTGAATTGAATTGAATCATTGGCTGAGAAAGCTGAATCAAAGAACCATTAAATACTAACCAAGTCTTCATCAATTGATCAAGATAGAATTGCATCAAAAATCCAAGTCTAATCCAGAATTCCTTCCCTAAAAGCAAGTTTACGCCTGTATAACTTGGAAATTAAAGGTCATTCTTTTAGCCAGTAGTCCTCAAGCTTGGTGCACCTAAGGACCATATGGAAGCTTTTAACTATATCCAGGGTAACAACCAAAGATTGTGATTCAATAGGGCTGAGGTGGAACCAGATTCTAACAAGCATCACCTATCAGAAAACACATGTAACTGCAAAATATGTAATTAATCCAATGAACAGTGATTGTCAAAACAGCAAATACCATTGGCTAAATCTGAGAAAGGTGAAATATGTAATTTAAAAAAGTAAAATGACTCATGTCCCCAATAGATATTTGTTGAATGTATGAATCCATTAGTCAATAGTATCAAATTAACACCAAACTGGTTTACAACGTTTAGCATAATATACAAAGAGGAAAATTTTAGATTCTGTGATTTTTCTGGCCAACTTTCTCAGTTTGAACTTTTTGGCCAACCCAGTAAAAGGAATTGAAGGTTGCAGAGCTGTGCACAGGTAGGGAGAATGCACAGAATGCCTTCAGTAAGATGGGCATAGAATTCTGAGAATGAAGAAACAGTCCTTCCCTAAGGCATTAGATTTGTAACTAGGCAGCAAATAAAATATGATTACTTCTAGCCAGCCCAAAATGCGGCTCCCACCAGAAAAGTGCTTGCTTAAAAATGCCTTTCAAAAGTCTAGCCTCTAGACAATTTTGGTGTTCAACTCATCTTATAATTTACATCTTATAATTAACACACACACATATGTGTATATATACATATATGTACATATACATATATACACATAATTACATATATATGTATATGATACACATTAATGTATGGCATTTTAAGAACATGTATAATTTGATAATTCTATATAAAAACCAATACTAATCATTATTAGTTATAAAGTTACAACCTCATGCATTTTCATTACCAAAACAGCATTTGTAATGGCTAAAATCCAAAATACTGGCAATAACCAATGCTTGTGAGAATAGGAAACTCTCATTCTTTGCTGACAAGTACGCAAAATGGTACAGCCACTGTGGAAGGCAGTTTGGCAGTTTCTGACAAAACTAAATGTACTGTTACCATAAGAATTACACTCTTAGGTATTTACTCAAATGGGTTGAAAACTTATGTCCACACAAAAACCTGCACATGAATGTTTATGGCAGCTTTATTCATAATTGCCAAAAATAGAAGCAACTAAGACGTTCTTTAATAGGTGAACGAATGAACACACTGAAGTACATCCATAAAGTGGAATATTATTCAGTGGTTAAAAGCAAAAAGAGATATCAAGTCACAAAAAAAAAGTGGAGGAAACTTAAATACATACTGCTAAGTGAAACAGGTTACTCTGAAAAGTCTACATAGTATATGATTCCAGCTACATACTGTAGGATTCCAACTGTATGACATTCTGGAAAAGGCAAAACCACAGAGACAGTAAAAAAAAAAAAAAAAATCAGTGGTTGCCAGGGGTTGGGTGTAGGGAGGAAGGGATGAATAGGCAGAGCACCGATTTTTAGGTTAGTGAAACTATTTTGTATGAGGCTTTGGTGGACACATGCTATTATGCATTTTTCAAAATCCATAGAACTGTACAGTACAAATAGTAAACCCTAATGTAAACTATGGACTTTACTTAATAATAATATATTAATATCAGTTCATCAACTATAACAAATATACCCGAGTAATGCAACAAGTTAATAAGAGAGAAGACTAAGGAAGGGGGATATACAGGAACTTTCTGTACTCTCTGCTCAATTTTTCTGTAAACCTCCAACTGTTCGCAAAACCAAAACCTAATTTAAAAAAAAATATGCAACAAGTTAATAAGAGAGAAGACTAAGGAAGGGGGATATACAGGAACTTTCTGTACTCTCTGCTCAATTTTTCTGTAAACCTCCAACTGTTCGCAAAACCAAAACCTAATTTAAAAAAAAATATGTAGGTAATATTAATGCTAGCACTGGAAACATTTTTTCTAATTTGTAACATACTGACAAAATAGTTGTTAAACTAAACCTATTAACTATGTATTTGTCACTCCTATATCATGAAACTTAAAATTCTTTAACTATTTAGCATATTCCAAAAGATATTTAATTCACATTCTGTCATATAGAACTAAATTAATAAGCCCTGCTATAACGGGATGTCTGAAGAATTTTTTTCAATTCTTTTCCCAAATGAAATGTTCATATTATATTGGTCCATCTCTGATTTTCACTATAGTTTTTATTAGCAAAAAGATAATAAATATTTTGCCTATAATACATTGTTATGTAACTGAATGCAGAAGTTGCTACCTTAACCTATGAGATGACTGGTTATAGCTACTGAAAGCCTTGTGCAGTTTTTCTCAAACTTCGATATGTGTGGGAGTCAACTGGGGATCATTTTTAAAAACAGATTCTGATTTAATTGGTTTGAGGTGGCACCTGGTAATCTGCATTTCCAACAAGCTTCCAGGAAATGCTGATGCAGGACTACACTTTGAATAGCAAGGTTCTAGAGTATATCTAGGCTATAAGATAATTACCACTGTGGAACGCAAACCCAAATCCCTAGCAGTTCTTGCAAGGGACTAAACAGCTGCTTTTTTTGGTTCTCCCACCTGGAAAAGCTCTCAGGGCTTCCAGCACTTCTACATTTTCTTTCCCAATATATAATCCTTTTCAATTTTATCTGTAAAGAGGAAGACCTGATAACCTTTGTACAGTAAGCAAGCTACCCATTTAGTCATAATACTCTCCTAGCTTGTATGAGCCGGAGATCATTTATTTCTAGTTCAATTCCTCTATTTATATGTCTTCAAGCACAGAAAGGTCAAGTGACTGGCTCAGGGTCACTTATCCAATAACTTAGAGGTCAGGTCTCAAATCCAGGTCTCTGATTCCAAATCCAATCCCTTTCCCTTATTCTCTGCTGCTTCTAATAGTGATGCACTTCAGAGAAGAGGGACCAGTTTGTTTAGACCACAAAATCCCAGTTCTAAATATACCTCAGCCTCCACCTTCCCATAAACCTTAAACATAGGTTTAAGGTCTTACAGAACCTGAGTCTTGAAGGAGGAATAGGATATTGATCAGAGGGAGGGGAAGAGGGGAATGGCGAATGTCCTAGCGTGAGTAGTGAATATATAAGCCACGAATACTAGAGTGATGATTAAGACCATGATGTTAAGAATGAGTAAGGCAAAATTGGATATGTCAGACAGAGCCAGATTTCCAATCATCAGCAAAACATGCAGAGTGCATCCTGGCTCTGAGACTTTGAGAATATTGCGTACTTTTCTGGAGACCTGCAATGGCCAGGAATTTGTGGAATTTCTGTAGAAGCCTGTTATAATACACATAATACAGCCTATTGTAATACCTACACTGCTTGTAACTGTCTCTAAGGGCTCAGATCACCAACAAGGGACTGAGAAGCTCCTGATTTTTGTCAGGCTGAGTCCAAAGTCCCCACAGCTGATTTTTCCTTATTGTAGCATCACTGCTCAGCCTTCACACATGAATATCTCAAAACATCTCCGGAAAGACAGAGATGGGAGCCCAGAATCTTGGCTGCCTTGACATTTACCTAATCACCTGAAGAGAATATTACTAACTTATTGGCAAAGCTTTGTGACATAGTGTCAGAGCAGCATCCAGAGGAAGACAGTCTGGCAACCCCACTTGAGCCCCCCAATCAAGGGCTGCTTGCATAGAGCACACACACTTACAGAGGAATCCCCTCTTGAAATGAGAATAGAATTTTCATGATGGGATGCTGTCCAGTGTTTAGTGGCAAGGACTGCACCCAAGGTCATATCATCCTTTTTTTTTTTCCTGTGCTGCAGGGTTCTAGGGTGGAGAGTGTAAGAGTATACAAAGGGAGACTTTTACTGTTAAAAATCCTTAGAAGGACAGTAACGTTGAGCCATACTTCTAAGAAGAAATCATCACAGGTGGACATATTTTGTTTAACTTCAGGTTAAATAAGAACAAGCATAAAAGAGAGACATGCAGATAGCACAGTTGTTGAACTTACAAAGATTTTCACACTAAAATTGCTGACATGTGAGAAGGAGGAAACTGGCTTATAGATAGGGCAGAGTGGGCAGTTTTCTTTTCTGGGTATCATCTCTGAACCGAATCAACAGAATAATGTCTAGGAAGCTTGAAGAATGCAGCTTTAGGACAAATGTGAAAGAAAGAGACACATATCAGTTCAATATAAAAGCAGCATTTTGCAAGTATGGCTGAACAATGATGAAAAGGGTCAACACGCCTGGGAGGATAGAAACACAGTCTAGGAGTCAGTGGGGAATGTGGTGTATTCAGTGGGAGAGAAGTAGCATTAGCCAATGGCCAAGGTTCTTTGCTGCTCAAAGATTCTATCATTCTATTCCAAACAAGAATAATGACTTGTATATTTTGCAATCAATGATAATAAAAGCACAATGACTGTGGATGACTTACTGTGCTGACAGTGAATCCCATTAAATCCTCGGGGACATTTACAGACATAGCCTATGAATGTATCCCCTCGGTATGCTTCACTTATTTCACAGGTTCCTCCATTATGGCACGGATTAGGAGTGCAGGGACCTGAAAGATAGAAAAAGAATATTGCTGCATGATGCATATGCTTTAAAGTAGACATTGGGTCAACATTTTGCAATTAATTTTATAGAGGAAAGTGTTCTGGATATTAGTGCCATAGGAAATGTAGTAGTTGGGGGAGTTCTAGAGATCAATGGCATGGGTTTGAATCCTGGTTTCATCACTTTCTAGCCATGTGGTCTTGGACGATTTATTTAACCTCTCCTTACCTCAGTCTCATCTTCTGTTGAATGCAATACTAATACAATCTACCACAAAGGGGGATGATAGAGATGAAAAGAAGTCATACAGGGCTTCCCTGGTGGCGCAGTGGTTGAGAGTCCGCCTGCCAATGCAGGGGACACGGGTTCGAGCCCTGGTCTGGGAAGATCCCACATGCCGCGGAGCAACTGGGCCCGTGAGCCACAACGACTGAGCCTGCGCGTCTGGAGCCTGTGCTCCGCAACAAAAGAGGCCGTGATAGTGAGTGGCCCCCGCTCGTTGCAACTAGAGAAAGCCTTCACACAGAAACGAAGACCCAGCACAGCCAAAAATAAATAAATAAATAAATAAATGAGGGGGACGAGGGGAAGATGGCGGAAGACTAAGACGCGGAGATCACCTTCCTCCCCACAGATACACCAGAAATACATCTACACGTGGAACAACTCCTACAGAACACCTACTGAACGCTGGCAGAAGACCTCAGACCTTGCAAAAGGCAAGAAACTCCCCCACGTACCTGGGTAGGGCAAAAGAAAAAAAGAAAAAAACAGAGACAAAAGAATAGGGACGGGACCTGCACCAGTGGGAGGGAGCTGTGAAGGAGGAAATGTTTCCACATACTAGGAAGCCCCTTCTCGGGCGGAGACTGCGGGAGGCGGAGGCGGAAAACTTCAAAGCCGCGGAGGAGAGCGCAGCAACAGGGGTGTGGAGGGCAAAAGGCAAGATTCCCGCACAGAGGAACGGTGCCGACCGGCACTCACCAGCCCAAGAGGCTTGTCTGCTCCCCCGCCGGGGCGGGCGGGGCTGGGAGCTGAGGCTTGGGCTTTGGTCGCAGCACAGGGAGAGGACTGGGGTTGGCAGCGTGAACACAGCCTGAAGGGGACAGAGCACCACGGCTAGCCGGGAGGGAGTCCGGGAAAAGTCTGGACCTGCCGAAGAGGCAAGAGACTTTTTCTTCCCTCTTTGTTTCCTGGTGCGCGAGGAGAGGGGATTAAGAGCTCTGCTTAAAGAAGCTCCAGAGACGGGCGCGAGCCGCGGCTAAAAGCGCGGACCCCAGAGACGGCAGGAGACGCTAAGGCTGCTGCTGCCGCTGCCAAGAAGCCTGTGTGCGAGCACAGGTCACTATCCACACCTCCTTTCCAGGGAGCCTGTGCAGCCCGCCACTGCCGGGTTCCCGGGATCCAGGGACAACTTACCCGGGAGAACACATGGCGTGCCTCAGGCTGGTGCAACGTCACGCCGGCTTC